CCAATGCAGCAACATCACTTGACAAAAATATTCCTAGGAAAACATAACCCAGGTAGCGCTAAAAGTGCTCCTACATAGCCTTTTAATTTATGTCACTCTAAGCTGAAAGTCAGAGGTAGTTCAGGCAAGCAATAAGAAGATTCAACAACAAAGTGACATAGGAAGGAAAACACTGAGACACACGCTTAAGGTATTTACAACATGAATCAATAAAAAGCTTTTAAAAAATCTGTACAAGACTAGTTAACCATCTTTTAAAGTTGCTTGCAGTATATGCCCACTATGCTTCCCCATGGTTTGTTATTTTATTTCAATGGCAGGGGGAGGAAACCAACAAAGCTCCGTAACTATCCTGCATAGCATAATGTAACCATGGAAGCATTTGTCCACTTGTCAGAGCCTCTCCAGAATGATTCAGTCATTCAATTCATTGAATCAATACTGCAGCTTTTGAGATTTATTATTTGAGGGTGTAGGAAAGCCAATAAAACAAATTCCTTGTTGCTTCCCATTAAATCCATCTTGTCACAGTAGGCATATTAATACCTTGTAACTGCTTTACTGATGTGGTATGGGCTATATTATTGTCTCTCCTTATGGAGGGATTACTCAGTGTATTTGCATTAACATGCCTGATACTCACTGAAAGAGAACTTCTGACACATTCTGCTGCCCCATACACAGGCTGAATCAAAGACAAAAGTTGTAGGAAAGAGGGGATAAAAATCTTAAAATACATTAAAACACTCCTGCTAAGAAAGGGATCTAGACTATGGTCTTTAAACCACAAACTGGATGCTTGTAGCCATGCTACTAATGCTTTAAGCTGAATGGAATTATTTTAGAAGTATCTCCATATTTGTTCAAGTATGATAAAGCTGAATTAAATTCAAATCAATGCTTATTTAATGTGACTGACAAAGATCAGGACAAAAAGCAAAACACCATGTTTTATGTAAAGAGCAACAAATTCTTAAGCACTATACTGACAAATACTCTAATTTCCAGGTGATTTTAAGTACATGATACCTTTTTGTAAAATTTTATCAGAGAAAGCATACTAAGATATGCACAGTTACAACAGTACTATTACTAATAAGAGGACTTGAGAATATTAATCCTCAAGGGCATTACTTTACCCTTGCATATAATTATAGGTGAACTTCAAAGGCGCCTTAAAAGCACAGTTCAAATGCTTATCAATATGACAGGCTCTTAATGCATTAAAGGTTTTCATGACTATGAACCAGATCTTGGCATGAGATAGTCTTCCTGTTTCCACTTTTTACCATTCCTACCCTCTTCTGCAAAAGCTGGTCAACTTACTCCATACTATTCCAGCTGGGGAGAGCTTAAAGCAAGGAAAGAAAGCAATACCAAGGTATTTGAAACAACTCTCTTGTCTATAGGCCTTTTTCCTAGAGACAGAACAGTAGTAGTAGCTGCTGACTAGCAGTGCCCGTACCAGGGCTATCTTCTACCCAGTGAAGTGAAATCGAAGGACTGTTTGTCAGTGAAAGCTCTTCAGTTTTAGCTGCTAACATTATTGAATACTTGTATAATCAGAATGTAGCTTATACCTTACAAATGCAAGGTCTTCTATATCATTTTCATATGCAGAAACTATTAGCAGGAAAGTAGTTCACTAAGCGGTCTGGATGTTGCTGTGACAGGAAATCTTAGTTAGTCTTAGTTAATCTTAAAATGTAAAAAGAGCAAATCAGTGATGAGCAGTTTGGTAGCGGTAGGAGGAGAGCGTCAGGGAAAACGATGAGTAATTTTTCCTTTTTTATGTATCACTAAAGGTAGAGATCTGACGCTGCATAAAGTTCTAGGGCCCACATATTAGAAAGGTTCTGAAATCCACAGAAGAGGCAAATAGGTCCCAAGAATCAACAAGTAGAGAAATCAGAAAGCACAATTTGAAGCTGAGTGAGCTCAAAACCAGAGTACAAAAATTCTTTCAAAGGAAAAAGGTGAGCACTAAAGAGATTCTCTTTAGCATCTCACAAAAAGCCTACCAAAACCCAGATATTCCTGATTTATAGATTCATACAGCTTAAATTGCAAGAATCCTATGAAAGTCTTAAAATACTTAAGTTACTCCACTACAGATTTTTTCTCATCAGCATAGGTATACAAGCAGGTATCAAGAATCTCACGCCAAAGTTTGTAACAGATTTTAAAAATAGATTTAGAGTATTTTATCTTATATACTACTTTCAGTGTTACTGATCTCACTAGAAGATTTTCATTTTCTGAGGTACCCTATAGTAAGCTCCAAGTAAAACAAATCAGATAAAAGTATGCATTTTTTTTATATACATTTTAAGAAATACCAGACAACCAATGTACCCTATTGGCCAATGTACTGGCTATGCTACAGAAGAGACAGCACATTCCTTCTGTGAATAATTATTTCTAAAAGTAACCAGTTCATGTCAATTAACCAAAGGGAAGCAGCAAAAGCATGCAACAGGAAACTGGGACATTATTTTTCAAAGGTAATTGTCACTTGTTTTGATTAAATGGCTGAGCTTATTGGTTGTTCAAGGTTTTTAACTAATTTAGAATGGAATTGAATCATACTGACTAAAGGGTTACTGATAATTCTGAAACTCAAGGCCCACATTATAATAGTTATATACAAGTAAAAACATACATGCAATATTTCCAGAGAGGAACAGATTACTCTGCAAATCTCTGCTGCCTTAGCATTCCCTTCTGCATACCTCTATTTCTTAGCTCATCTTATTGTATCTTAAGCATCTTGTCAGATACTGTATTACTCTTCAATGGGATTCTTCTAGAGCTACTGACACATTTGTTGACACTTGTTTCCTGTGAAACTTTAACACTGTTCACAACTGCCAACCAGATGGAAATGGAAATGGACAAAGGCTGTAGATTGCTTTCTGCATGACCCTTTCATGCTACATGATTCATCACTCCATTGAAGTGATTAAAATATACATTTAGATACTTAGCTTTGGCCTTTGCAATTGCAGGCTAGCTCTAGGTCCTGAAATAGGATGGCTTAGATTTTTAAAATTTAGTGGAGGAAGATGATGTATATTTTTACCAGAAGTAAAGAGTAAATGTTTCCGTCCAAGTTGATCAAAAAAGAAGCATCTTGTCTTGTCTAGAGTTTACTTGGCATAATTTCCTAACAGTCTTTTTAACATTCCTTTGTGCACAAATTAAAACTCCTACCTCTGACCAAGCCACGCTAGATATGTCGTGCCCAAAGGGAATGCGACAGAGAACCCTGCAGTCACTCCTGGAATGCCATGGAGTGATTAACACTGACCCTGCCGCTCACTGGGAATGCACTATTAGGATATGCAAAGTACCTTACACGGCCATGGAGAAAGGCTCTGTTCCCATTAGCATTCATGGGAGCTAGGCAGCTACAGTCTTGTTCATCAAGTTTGGAATATACCCTTTTGTTATTGATGGGAAAATGTCACTGGTTACAAATGGTTACACACAGGGGTGTAGCAGGGTCAAAGCAAACTCCAACACTTCCCCCACGACTCCTCCCCAAGAGTGCTGCTTCAGCAGTTCTTTTTTGACCTGATGGTACACCTCTTTAGATGAAAGAAATTGTGAAATTCTCCATCCTGACCTCTTCTGTAGCTCCACTATCCAGAGATTAAAGAAAAATGCAAATCTTTCCAACAGACACCCCATCAGCAGCATATGCTGGGACAGTCGGGACTCAAGCAGGCATCCCTAAGTATGGTGTCTGCCTTCACACTCTCAAGGTCCACCCACAACTCTGATCTGTCTCATAAAACAGTCTTTCAGCAGCATGAATAGTCTGAGTCATCAGTTTCCCAGCTACAGACAACTACAGTTGCTTCATTTTTACTACTGAAAGCTTCCTTCAGGAAACAAAACTAGTTAGTACTGCAGATACTCTCTGCCAGGTGTCCGCGATGCTTAATAGATGAAATTCCCATTCATCAAATTATAAATTTTTCATCAACTTGAGATCAAGATTAAACTTAACTTATGGGAAAAGCACTCAATCCTGTCACTTTTAATAAAATATATTATTCTTGCTGGAAAGAGTTGAAGGGCAATTCAACTTTCTTGCAGTTTGCCATCCTGTGAAGTGGGTAAAACCATACTAGGACTGCGAGCACAAGTAATCTCAACTCAAACCTGTTTTTGTTGTACAGAGGCTATTTACACAGGGCCTTCAACGCAATTAGCACAAATTGTGCATCTGTACCATGACAGAAACAGAAAGCCTATTTCTGAGCCAGCACCAACTAGGAATATGCTACAAAATACTCTGAAGAATGGAATGAGCTGGACTTAGTGTCCTAAGCTAGGGATATTCTCCTTACATTTATGAAATTGTTCTGAGGCAGTTCTAACTGCATTGCACAGCTAGACCTATATTATAGAGCTGCATAAGGAAGCACATAAACCAACCTTTACCTACCTGCCCAACTCTGCCAGGAACGGTTTCCCGTTTACGCTTTTAGCAGGATAGGTTGTGGAGGCATGTTTGGAAAATATAAGAAACCACATAGGCTCCAGTCAGCTCTTATTCTATTCTTACAACACAGTTCTGCCTCTGAGAGTATTTATGTTCTTTCATGAAGTCTTTCTTACTTTTAAGAAAGATTATTTCCACCCTGGGCAATGTAACACTACTGAACACAGGACATTATTTTACACCTCTGGTTCAGAGTGTCCAGACTGCCTGTAAATATTCAATAAAGACTTCTGTCTTATCTACCTATCACATGTGGTAAAAAGTATTTTAAGCACAAATAATTTGAGAATTATTTTGCTTTTAACTAGAACACATTAACACACCACATATCTTAATGGGCTATTTTACAGTGTCCAGGCAGTACCACAGTCCTCCTCAGCCTATTTGACTCCAATGTATATGAGCACTCCATTGATGCATACAGTAACTGGCTCTTATAATACCAGATGCAAGTCAAGCATTTGCAGAATAGAAGTCACAAAGAATTATGCCTTTCTATGAATTTAGCACAAAGGTACTCCTAGTCAAACTCCTAAAGGGATCTGTATTCAAATGGGAGTTTGGAAACAAAAATAAGGATAACTTTCCTCACTTTTCTAAACTCTTCTGCTTTTAGGGAGCAGGGTTGCTTGAGGGGGGATGCACTGCACTGTTAGGCAGTCCTTACACTTATCTTAGTCTCCACCAACAGCTCCCCCAGAATTAGTATAAAACTTGAGGATTCCACACTACTCCAACAGGCTCGGGCACGCAGGCTCCCGCAGTTAGGCTACAGTGCGGCAGGACAGCACTCACAGCAGCACACTGGCCCCGGGAGCAGCCGCCAGGAGAGCCCCTGGCCCCGCGGGCAGGTCCCGGGCTCGGCCCCTCGCGCCGCAGGGACACCCGGGCCCTGGGAACGGCGCTCGGCGAGGCGGGACCCGGAGGCGGGACCCGGAGCCAGAAGCGGAGCCGCGCTCACGCTGACGGCGCCACCGGCTGGCGGGGAGATGAACAGGCGCGCTGCGCGCCGCCTCTAACGGCCGCTGCACGCGCGCCCAACCGCCGTAACCGTCAACAACGGCTAACAACAGCCCCCCAGCTAAGCAGCGCTGCGCGCGGCCCCGCCCTTTGTAGCACCTGCGCGGGGCGGGGGGCGCGCGCGCCCGTTAAGAGCGGGCGCGGGGCGGGTGCGCGGGCTCTTGGCGCGGCGGGGCAGGGCGCGCGGAGCGGCACGCAGCGTTGGTAGCGGCGAGCGGGGCTCCC